GGGGGGGTGAGTCTGAAATGAGGAAACGTTAAGGACTTTCTAATTACACCTTTAAGGGCAGAAACAGTTGGGTTTTTTTAATGAGATGGATCATGAAAACATTAGAAACATCTCTATTACAACACTAATTAAGATTTCGAAAGGTTGTGACTGTTCAATCCTTCTATACGCTTGGGAATGCTGAGCAATTACTTAAGTTTTGAATTTGACATGAATGACGTTTATTACAAATGTATAGAAATAACAATACTCGCTTATAGAAGCCAACGTCGTACAGTTATTAATGAAAACAAATAGGAACAGACAACTGCAGTTCCAAGGACGCTTGATTCGACATAAAGGCGTGAACATCTTGCCTTCACTGAAACAACAGAAGACAAAAATGGGTAGAGGTAGGCCAAGAAAAACTACATGGAGAACCTGCACAGATGAGTGACGTGAGCAGACCAGGATGGTAAAGATTTATGGAGAGCATCCTAGCAGAGAAATGAATGGGGAACCTTGACTGCTTATCTTACCTTGTTTTCTTCACCAAATGGGCACTATCAAACTCCGATGCGCTTCTATATAACACAAAAAGCTAAACTTTCACAGGGCAATCTGATTCATATGATTATTCATTTTGGTAAGTGTTTTACGGCGCTCGCAACTCTTATGAACGCACGAGACACATTAAACATTTTTCAGTTGGTAGAACATTTTGAATTTTGCCCGGGTGGCGGCCGAAGCCTACTCTTATCAATTTTAGGACCACCAAGGAATCTTTAACATGCGCAACTTGCACACAAGACCTCCGAGATTTTTAGCCTTTATCCGAGACGGTTAGGTGTTACATTTTACCTACCATAAGATAAGGGGTGTGGCTGAAAGACAGCAGTGAGAAGGAGCCAAGGAGTAGCAGTAGAAAGGTTGCAGAAAGAGCCAGGAGCCCAGATGATGGGGCAAAGGGGAGGGGAGAGGTGGCAGAAAGTGGAGACGAAAGCAGACGTCAGAACTTGGCAAGAGAGCAAGAAAGGGGATGAAAGAAAAAAAAATTACAGAGGAGAAAATGTTCCGTCGTTGTCCGGAATCGAACCCTGGACCTATTGAATGAAAGGCAAAAAGCACAACCATAACCATAACTCCAATCATGCCATCAGGTGTGTGACGATAAGGTTTTTAAAATACAACCTTTTTAAGAAAAGAAATGCTAAAATCAACAGTGAGAGTAGCGTCGAAATTGGCGTAAAATCCATCTCCTCCGCATGTCTTTCCCAACAGAGCCTGCCACACAGTGTCCCCTGGGTCGGTACGGCCGAGAGTGTGAACTTGCCTGTCAGTGCAGCCAGCCGTCAGAGCCATGCTACGTCTCTACAGGAATGTGTGCGTCCGGATGTCCAGCCGGATATATGGGGGAAGGATGTTGGACAGGTGATGTATTCAAATGTTGTGTGTGTGCGTGTGTGTGTGTGTGTGTGTGTGCGTGTGTGTGTGTGTGTGCGCGTGTGTGTGTGTGCGC